AGTTCAATAAATGAACTCAAAATCAGTCATAATGAGCTATACCTTTCACTTGGACATAATGGCGGGTAGGAGGAAGTCAAAAATCAAATATTTAGGATTTGATTTGACCCCCTGCCACTACATCAAGTATTATTGTATGGTACTATTTTTATAATTGTTCATGAGATATGAACATGTATTTATGAGAGATGTGAAATTATTAGAAAGGTGAGTAGAGTTATATATAGGGATAAGCCCATGCACAATAAAGATGAAAGACCTGATTGAGGTAAGCCTCACTCTCTCTCCAATTTAAAGTTTAGGAATTCAGACCCAACCTTGGATTAGTGAGTAGCTTCAATTTTAAAAAAGTTAAGAATACTAACCAATCTTTATTAGAGAGCTATAAGTGTGCAAAAGCCTATAATCATCATAATGAACTTTGTTAATCCCTAATACCTCAAAATATGTGCAAAAGTTAGACAAAATCACGAATTAAATAGCGTGCGGGTTTAGGCGACGCAATCACTTGAGAGGTTCAAAACAAACTCATGGCCAAACAGATTTGTGTCATAGTGACCAGGAAATCAATTAATTAGGTCGAGGCACCTCGCAGTCAGAGCCCGGATGAGATGCGGATCGATGGACTGAACTTTAATAGTTGCGTCTGGAAACGTAAGTTAACATTTTTAAAATATACAATTTATTTAATTAAATTGGGATCAATCGTGGCGATGGCACAGATCCGGGCGACAACGGATGAAGAATTAAGAAATTGGCCTCGATGTTCGCCCAAACGACGCCAGATTTGACGACCGAACTTCGTGTTTCCGTTCAAAACCGTCGTCAATACCATAAATACACTATCAAATTTTCTAGAGAAAATTATATGGGCAAAATCGACACATGAACGAGACAAGATGGCACAAACTTTGGAGGCAATCGCCTATAATCATCAATATGAATTTTCCTAAAAATGTCCGAACATAAATATAATTGAAATAATTTTTTATAATCAATTATCATGTTGGTGCTTGTTTCATTGACTGTAAACTGTTGCTTATTTCTTATAAATTATTTTTGTATTTTTATTAACTTTAGCTCATAATAGTAAGTTGGTTTGTCACGCCGCGACCCGACGGGGATGGATCCCGCCCGAACCGGATCGTGACAGAACTTCTTTATCCAATGGATCTGGCTTTTGGAATTTGGTTCTGAACTGCATCTTCCAAAATAAATTAACTCAACCATGACACACAAACACAGAACAACAGAGCTACTATAAGTCACCAATTTGCAGCGGAACAAAACAATACTATATTTTCCTTTCTTTCCTCAAAAACAAATCATCTACAAATACGGTACATGGCTAGCAGAAAAAAAAAAACCCAGAATGAAAAGCCATGACCGTACAAAATCAAAAGTACAAGAACAATACTATACGGATCAGAACCCTGAACTCTAGTCCTGGGGACTTTCATTCCCGTTTTCCAGAACCGCTGAAACCACTAAGAAAATCAAGGGTGAGCTCACAGCTCAGCAAAGCAATAAACAAACCACCAATACTAAACTCTCAGAATCCAATAACCACCTCAGCAGACAGAAATCAAATCAGAAATCGGAAACGAAATCAATCACGGATCAGAACAGAAAATCGAAAATCAGAACTTATACGGACAGATATCAAATCAGAATCAGAGTCGTACAGATCAAGATCAACAGAGACAGAATAACATCAACAGAGTCAGAGTCATACAGAAATCAGAAATCAGAAATTTCAGGATCATATCAGAACAGAAATGGTTAACGGAAACAGAAATCGAATCAGAAACAAGAACAGATCAGAATCACAATTTGCTTACAGAAACAGATACAGAAATCAGAATCAGATCAATATTTCATATCATAATCTCTAAATGCCCTGACACTCTGACGGAATCTCCCTACGGATTCCGGCCCCTTATGCCTCCTTCCCAGACACTGACTGAAAATCGCATAGGATCCAGGCCCCTTATACCTCCCTATTGGCTCACGGCACCAGAACAAATGGCTTATAGCACCCAAGAACAGAATTCATCGGTTCCGGAACAGAACAGATATCAGATTTCTTCAGATTTGAGCTCATTTTCAGATTTTCCCCAAGACACTAACTGAAATCTCATAGGATTCAGGCCCCTTATAACTCCCTTTTTTAGCTTATAACACATAGTCATTTCAATTCAGAGAAATCCGGACAAATCAGAAATCAGATAAATCGGGCAGCACAACGGCAGTAAACAGAATTACACAAAATTTCCTCAAATTAAATTTACCAAATTTCCGCACAGAAAATAGAAATCACATTCAGACACTAATTCTAACTGCACAGAAGAATTTACCATTTTCACAGAAAAATTGTAGTCTAAACGAAAACTCCGCCGAATCAAAAATAACCCCGGACAAAAATCTTCCGGAAATAACCAAAATGTGCCACACTCGGCACGTCAACAATAATACGGAAAGTTAACGCGGTAAAAACTGACCAATCAAAAGATACGGACGAAAAACCGTAACGGAAACAAAATCCGGACAGAATATACCGCCCAAACTCCGACGGAACTGAAAATTGGAGAAAGGCGGAATGTGCCTTACCTCGCGTAACAGCAATATTCTGAACAGTCAACTTCGGACAAACGGCTCCGCGTCGTCCGATAATCAACCTTTTTCCAAATCTCTCGACTTTCTCTCTCCTCAGAAAATCAGATTATTTTTAATTTGATTTTTCTCATCTCTTCCAAAACGACTGATTTCAAGCTTTATAATACTCAGGATCGGCCCGGCCGATCGCCAAGATCGTCCGGGACGATCAGACCAAAAATCGATCGTCCCGATTCGCCCTGGACGATTGCCAGAACTATTCTCAGGCCGATATTATTTTACAGTGCCGATCGCCTGGCGATGTCCAAATGGCCTGGACGATGTGTAACAGAAAATCACCTGGAGCAAAACTGGGCAAAAATCTAGCAAAATACAACTGATCGTCCCAGGGACGATCCAGCATCGTCCTGGACGATCCTGGAGCAGATTTTTGATATTACAGTTGTAAACTGCACGGAAAGAGAAAATAGGATAGTGGGCATTAGGCAGAAGGTTGCTGTCCCTTTCCATGTACATACATTTTGGGTGAACATAGAGATCAAAGTAGAAGCTGTACAACACTTTTGGGTAATGCAACTACTTATTTGATTTTAGTAAGCTTGTATTTTATCTAATGTGTTAAAATGTTTTAAATAATGCTTTCAGTTATGAAAAGATTCTTTGTCTTAAGCATTTGAAAAACTTAAGATTTTTGGGATGAGGTTATGAATTGACTATTTCTATCTCACTTGGTTCCTGATTAAAAGTATCTCAGGATGGGTGCTAGTAAGAGATAGAGTATGTTTCGATTCTCTTT